GATCACCTCAGAAGAAACGCCAAGAGATCTGATTCCAAACATCGAACACTTTTTCGCAACGGAACACAACAGATTTTTCATACCGACGTAAAAGAGCACGGATTCAAAACACTGTTGACGAGATGCCTCGTGAGTATGCTGAAAGTGTGGCGTAACTTTATTTTCAGAGACACTTGTTATTCTGGACCGCGCATTGCAAAACCGAAATTTGTAGCATGTTGCACGTGTCACGGAGGCAATGAAATAAATAGTTCGCCAATTTATAGAGGACGTGACGGGTGTCTCAAGTCGGTATTTTGCGCGCGCGCAGTGCGAAGTTCCGATAACGCACGGACCTCAAGTCATCCGCTGCGAGGTTTTCTTTTCTGAATATGCAGTTTTGGCTTTTGTATATATTCATCGTAGTTTTTGGTTCAGAATCCCCATTAAGGAGAGAGAGACTCCCTCGCCGATTCTCAAAAGGCCCGGTCTCTTGAACGAGAATGCTTCTGATAACTACGTGGGGCAGGACTTGCGATCGGCCGTGGCTTGTCGCTTTGTCTTACGAAAAGCAAACGACACGACGATGCCTCCGAGTTATTTGTCGATGTGGCTCGATGTGTCGTGCAGTTTGCAGCAGTGCGTATGGAAGGAGACGTAAACACACATTTTAAAGAATAGGGGGTGTAGCGATAAGGACGTAATCGGTGACCCTTTGACCCTCAGATGAGAGGGATCTGTCGGCAGCTGAGAGCATCATTGTTCGTAATCGAGGTCCCCCGTGAGGAGGAGGGAACCGTATCGACGTTTCGTGTGCGTTCTGCGGAGGTCGCGAATCGAAATCCGGGGCTGGGCCCTACGGCCTGTGGTTCGTCATCCTTTTTTTATTCCTGCAGGAAAAACAGTGGGACAGAAAGTAAAATGGACACCATCATGGTCGCTGTGTCTCGTATATCGCGGAAGCCATGCGGGCCAGATCAGGGGTGGAGAATATTCTGCCCAAGGGCCGGAGCCGACCCTGGAGACGAAACTGATGATCCGACGAACATAAACTAAGATTTCGAATGCGAAGGAAAGCCACGAGCGACTGACTTATTTTACAGTTCGTAGTTTTTTATGGTTTGTTTCAGAACCTAAAGGTTCATCACAGCAATTACAAAATCCAACCATTGGCCAGTATTCTGAACCATTCTATTCGACTTTAATGTCCATGTTTTAAAGGATTCTCCCATCTCCGTGTAGGCCTCTGAAGCGGTCTTCTCGCCTTTCAGGTTTCAGAGCCAAAATTTAAAATTCGTTTATCGGGTGCCCGCTTGCGCTCTGCATGTCCAGCACATCTCACAGTGCCTTGTTTGTTACATGTGACGCCAGGTCTGGTACCTCAGATGTTCAGATGAGTTTTGTCTGTCCCTGCCTTGTATGAACCTCCTCCTCCTCAGCACTTCCTCCCCTTACGCCTGAAGTCCGTTTTCCCTCAGAATGAGAGACAAAATTCCCACAAAGTCGCTGACATCAATCAGTGCCACGTCGAATCGCGTCCTTTCCTTTCTGAGGTTTCCAAAGAAAAATACCTTATTTTGTTCATGCAGTTGGTCACTGTGGGCAACGCAGCGAGTTTCAAGGTCACGCGTGTCGTTCGTGGCTCTGCAAAGTCCCAGAACGCGGAGTACCGGAATGTTCGCCGTAGAAGATTGTCGTGGGGTGGTCTGTGTTTGCCCCACCCTCTCTCGTCCAGGATGAAACGCAAAGTAACATTAATTCATGATGTTTGTATTAATTTCATCCGCTTGTGTATTTGAAAGTTGAAACGTTGCCTCAGGCACGTGTTTCGGCGCAGACGATGTTTGCTTCTGTGCGCGGTTCGTAACTGCGTGTTACTGCAACGTTCATGCTCCGACGACCGCGTTATGAACTGGCCATAGTAAAAAGTTCTCGTACTGGACCGAAAGGGAAGTAGACAGCGGTGGAACAGGTTAATTCTACTCGTTATTTCATAGAAGCTTCTACCCGTGTCTTGGATTTCGTTTC